GAATGTTTATAACTATATATTCTTTAGTTAACTAAGATTTCTTAATATGGAAATCTGACCGTGATTTATCCAGTCATATATCATGCTATTAGTAAATTTTAATTAATTTAAATTAATTAAATAAAACCAACATAATTACCAGCTATGTAGATATTCTCATCAGATGAATAGGTAGTCCCAGAAACTTGATTGGTTGTATGTAGGTGCGTGAGTGATAGAAAAAGTATTGTTGGAAAGTGTTAAGAGTTTAAAAGAGTTGAGTGTCTATGAGTTTAAGAGTAGAGTGTTAGTCCCAGATATTGTCCTGGATTTCTCTGCATGTCCGAGTTGGAGTCCCCCAAACTTCAACTCCCTCTCTCTGTATCTCTATCTTGTCTATCCTGTCTTCCCTTTGTCCTAACTTTTAAAGGGCCAGACTCTCTGTACGTCATTAGTTGATAAACCAATAGGCAGCCATAGGTGTGTCCAATCGATGGATCGCAGTTTAGGTATTTGATCCATAGATGGCAGTCTCGTCTAACGAAACCTTCCTATCCAGGAAAGAGTTAACTTTTCCTGATGACGATTTTGACGTCATTTGGCTTATCTAAAATGACTACCATAACTTAGATTTGCTGTCAGTTCAAAGCGTTTGTCCCAGTCTTTGTGGCATCTACTTTGATCGTAACTTGTAAAATTGACAGTTCTAAACTCACTTTCACCCCTTACTACAATGGTACCTTGTAAAATTTAGAAAGTAAAATTAATTACTTAGTCTTCTCTGTCACTAGTGTCTGTGTTTAGATAATTGCATCTATTAGCATTTACATTTTAGACAGAACGTTCCATCCCCCTTGCTTCATTGCTTATCTTGGTTTGTTTATGTAATACATTCCTCAGCTCAAGCAAGTGGCTAGTTACTGAAAGTAAGAAGAAACCAAGGAAATTATGTGTTTTTGTTATCCTGAAGATAGCAAAATGGAGTCCACTTTGTTCTGAGTGGCTGTGGCAATATACACTTTTAATTTCTTTTTAGCACAAAATGTCTGTTGATATAAATATTCTGACACTAATGAAGACCAGGAAAAGGCAGAAATGTTAAATAACATTTTTTCTTCAGTATATATTAATGAGGATGCTTTGGCAAGAGATTGCTGCAAAAAACTTGCAGATAACTTGTGATTGGATAACTCGAGACAAGGTGCTACAGCTGTTAAAGAAAATTAATGTAAATAAAGTTTTGGGGCCTAACGGTATTCACCCACGAGTACTTAAGGTGCTAAGTGATAAAATAAGTGAACCTCTGTATTAAATTTTTCAAGATTCTTTTGTTTCAGGTATTGTACCGGAGGATTGGAGGAAGGCAGATGTCATTCCTATATTTGAAAAGGGTTCAAAACCCTTGTCTGGAAATTATAGACCTGTGAGCTTAACTGCTGTGAATGGTAAAATATTTGAAGAGCTATTAAGGGATAATATTCAGGAATTCATTGGGAAGAACTTTGTTATTAACAATAATCCAACCACACACGTAGAAGCAGCACTTAGATGAAGCAACCAAGCTATATAAGCCAAGCTAATGACAACAACCCTTATATAACTCCTAAAATCACCACCCACTAGGAATTTTTAACACCTGGGTAGGCCTATGCTTATTTGCAAACAATAGCTAATTAACCAGCATTCGATAGCAAGTATTTAGCTAATCAAATCACATGCCTTACCAAATTACCAACAGGAAATCAAACCTTGTACAATCAGTAACCTTTTCCTACAGATGAATCTTACCTGCAACAGTAGAAAAGAAAACTCTTAGCAAAATCTTAGACAGCTGAAGCTTCTGTAAAACTCTCCAGAATATCTCCAACCACACACTTAGAATCAGCACTTAGATGAAGCAAACAAGCTATATTAGCCAAATGTGTGCCTTTCCAAATTATGCCCAATCAATTGAATTTGCTATTGGTGGACTGCAATCTAAGTGTAGAAATATCTCAAAGATAATCCAGAAAAATGGGATGCATCATAGATTCATTTCAAATGTGAAAGCAAAGTATCTGAAAATGTACGTCAATGTGATATTTCAGTTTTTTCTTTTAACATACATTTGCAAAGTTTTCAAAAATCCGTTTTTTTTTTTTGCTTTGTCTTTACATTATGGAATATTGATTATAGATTGATTCAGATTTTTTTTTTTTTTAACAATTGTACAAATAATGTGGAAAAAATGAAGGCTATAGCGGGCTGTGTGTTTGAACATACATTGGATGCATTAGGAGATTTTAGCCAGGACATGACTCATACAAAGCAGATGGTCATGTAGTTTCATTGCTGCTCTTATGAGACTACCTGCTGAGAAGCATGGCAGAGAGGAGACTGACTGACGCCTAACTATGCTTTTTAACTATACTACAGGGATTAGCTTAGATATAAACCAGCATCAGGTTTTTGTATGTAGGATATTTGAAATAACAGGATTTGTATATGATGGGCATACCTCATCCAATGCTTCTTACCATTAGTAATCCTTTCCAATTGATAGAGGATGAATTATAACCTTCAATTGTCATATTAAAGTCTAATACAAATATAGTCCTGAAATGTTTTATTTTCTTTGGAATGATGATCCTGTGAGTAACATGTTTGTTAGTTCATCGTGCCTTTTTAACCCCTTAAGGACACATGACATGTGTGACATGTCATGATTCCCTTTTATTCCAGAAGTTTGGTCCTTAAGGGGTTAAAAAATTGAGATGTGTCACGGGAGATAGGACTCCTCGTACGTGTTTCCGTCTAATGTTTCCCTGCATTCAAATGGAATTGTTTCATTCTGTTCGGTTGCAGAACAGATTTGTGGGGTCTCCTTGTTCGCAAATCATGTTTAGGCTTGATTGGAATATTGTTCTGACTTCACATACAATCAAATTAAACCCTTTTGAAGTTGACAATACCACCTCTAACTTTCATTTTACCAAACCGTGGGGTTCTGATGCTGTTGTCATGTATTTTTGTGATATGTAAAAATTGTGTGTAAGTTTTCCTATTTGAGAGATATTGGATTAGCTAAACCCCTTCCCCCCTCAAGGGGTTAGGCTAACTGGATTAGCTTAACCCATAAAAAAAAAATAATATTAACCCCTTCCCTACCTCCCTCTCCCTCCATTCCCATGCACTTCTTCTTCTTCACTGAAGAAGCCCAGACAGTCCCCCATCAGTAAATTAGGACCCCCAGGGGCCATGTGATCACTCTGAAAGAACTGAACTGACTGCCTGCTGGTGAAAAAAGTTTAAAAAAATAAAAATAATAAAGTTTATAAATAAATACAAAAAAACCAAACAAATATATATATATATATATATATATATATATATATATATATATATATATATATGATATATATATATATATATATATATATATATAATATAGATATAGATATAGATATATATATATAGGAAAAACTTGCACTCCAACAAAATATAATAATGGTACCTGGTGCTCTGGTGCTTGAAAATATAATCAGAAAAAATACCGGCACTCATAGGTTTTTCCAGTGAATCTTCTATTTATTAACAGGTTACATCAACGTTTCAGCTCCGTTACTGGAGCTTTCATCAGGACATGAATAACACACAACAAGTGAAAGGCTTTATATAGGGAAATATAATTAGATAAGTACTTACTTAGCCAGCTGAAGCTCATTCCCCTTTGCTGCCCGGCATGGTCAGGTGGCACATGCATTGATTTCCGGATGTGGTCACATGATCCACAATCCCGAGGAGACCATCAGATAGGACGGGCGCGTCACGTTGCTGGGGCATCTATGGGCACAAAACCCTATTGGTTGCTCCTTCATGTACTGGCGCCGGTGAGGATCAACCTTCATCTGAATCATCAGTCTCTTGCTAAATGTTGCTATGGCAACCCGAGAGTAATCGGGAAGCTATCTAAGAAGACCAGCCACAGTGAGCAAAGATATAGGAAAAATAAAGGAGAGGAGTATGAGCATAATTCAGATGATGATGACATCTACCAAATACATATGATGCAAAACTAAATAAGTGCAAAAAGAAGTGTTAATTTGCATAAATAATAAATTGCTTATATAGTATGTAACAATATAAGTGCTGAACAAAGTATGTTAATGAAAAAAGTGCCACTTGTTGAAAGTACCTCTGTGCATGTGTCATAAAAAGTTAAATAAAACTGATATAAGAAATTTATAAATTGTCTAAGAATTTACTAGTATCATGTAGTGTGAATATAAGTGTAATAGTGCAATATGTATAATTTAAGTGCAACAAAGTGCAAAAATCTTGCTTTAGATGCCTTACAACTGAAACATTAAATACACAATATCTTAAGAGCTTCTGTTAAAGACTTCAATCTCTTAATAATAATAAGTCCTTCAAATCTGCATCTCTCCATGCATCAATTAATGCCGTACATAAAATGACAAAAGAATGCTAATATATGCTAAAAAATCAAGATTAAAAAATACAACAGTATTTGTAATATAATTTGAACATAATTTGATATACATCCTTAGAACATTATAACATTACGCATTCATGCAACACATTAAATATATGAGACCAGATTACAGAAAGACTGAGAAAGAACACTTTTCGTTTAGACCTTTAGGCGATATAGTGTTCAACTATGTAATCCAAAAGGTTTCTCTTTGTAGTAAGAGTTTGCCCCTGTCCCCTCCCTGAATCGGAATGGGGACATGTTCAGTTGCCACACATCTTAAAGATGATAATTGATGTTGGGATTCCAGAAAATGTTGGGCCACAGGTTTGTCCTACTTGCCATCACGATAGACAAGTCGGCTACTAAATCTGTGGCCTCTGCTTCTCTCACAGAGTGCAGTCTCTGTTTTGCCAATATAATTGAGGCCACAGGGGCATGTCAACTTATAAATGACAAAGTCTGTCCTGCAATGGATACAATGTTTTATTCTCTCTATCTCTCTCTCTCTCTATATATATATATATATATATATAGATAGATATAAGCAGAAAGCAAAAGTGTAGCTGCACTCACGGACTGTAGTTTAAAATCTTCAATTCTTTATTGATTCACATTAAAAAGATCTTTTAATGTGAATCAATAAAGAATTCAAGATTTTAAACTACAGTCCGTGAGTGCAGCTACACTTCTGCTTTCTGCTTGGATACAATTGAGTCCAGGCTGGCACCTGGCACCTGGCATTTTTGAAATGTTATAGCTTGAGTGCAGGAATATCCTTTGTTTTTGTTTGTGTTTTTATATATATATATATACATATATTATATCTATCTATATATATCTTATATATGATGGCATATCAAGTGTATTTTTTATTAATATATACATATATTACATATGTTAATACATATTATTTATTAATATAAATTTAGATTTTATAATTACACACTATATATTGTATATATATATTATAAAAAATAAATAATAAAAATAAATGTAAAAATAATTTTAAAAAAATGTAAATAATTATATATATATATATATATATATGTCATTTTATTCTAACTGTATTTTGATATATATATATATATATTTATATCAAAATATCAAAATACACTTAGAATGAAATTATATATATATATTTGATATATATATATATATATATATATATATACAATAGAAAATAGAGGGAGCACACTAGGGCTTGTTCTGAGTGAAAAAATAGTATTTACTGTATCATAAAATAATACATCTCCTGTGCAGAGTACAGAAAATTGACGTTTCGACCCTCCTGGGGTCTTTATCAAGATCTTGATAAAGACCCCAGGAGGGTCGAAGCGTCGATTTTCTGTACTCTGCACAGGAGATGTATTATTTTATGATACAGTAAATACTATTTTTTCACTCAGAAGAAGTCCTAGTGTGCTCCCTCTATTTTCTATTGTATATTTTCCGCGGGATGTGCACCTAGGCAATTTTTGAATTTGATTGATTTAGTTTTAGGAGGAGTGCCTTGCTTACCTATTTTTATATATATATATATATATATATATATTTATGTATATATATATATATAAAAATTATTAAAAATATACATAATTACATAAATAATTTCATAAATATACACGTAGACTTCAAATATATAAATATGTATTTATATTTAAATTGTACGTGCATATTTATGTAATATTTTTGCATAATTAAGTAATTTTATTGATTGCAATTTGGGAGACCTGCCTGACAACCCAGGCCGAAAGACCCGAGAATTTAATTTGCTAGCACTATATTTAATCCTGTAACTTTCCAAGACACTCTAAAACCTGTACATGGGGGGGTCCTGTTTTGCTCGGTAAACTTCGCTGAACACAAATATTAGTGTTTCAAAACGGTTACATTGGCCAGCTCCAAAAATGTCTCAAATAGGACATGGGTGCATGATGACCAGCTGTGAAAATTCCAAATTGGAATTTGCACCCTCCAAATAAGGTCTTTTAGTCCCCAGAGAACCCGACACACCTAAACATGTGTGGTATCACTGTACTCAGGAGATGTTGCTGTACACATTTTGGGGTGTTTTTTGGCCGTAACCCTTAAAGTTCTCAGTACATGTATATTTTAAATTGCTATGAGTGTCAAAAACATCACCAATTATTATTTTTATTTTTTAATTTGGCATAGATTGGTGGTAAAATGGTTGCATGAAAAAAGTCAAAATACCTGAAGTTTTATAACTTAGGTTGTCTTCTTTTAAAAAATATATACATGTGAAGGGTTATTCAGGGATTCCTGACAGATACAATATAACTTGCGTTAATTTTGAAAAAAAAATGTTTTGTAAATAGCTACTTATAGCCCTATAACTTTTTTTATTTAGCATGGGTGTTTTTTTTGGCAGTTGTAGATGCCTAACAGATTTTTGGGATCACAGTTTGAAATAGTGTGGTTTTTTTAAAATGTTTCATCATATTTTATAATTTCTTTTATAGTAAATTTTATGATGTGATGAAAATTTAATGATGAGAAAAACAGTATGTAATATGTGTGGGTACAGTTAATGAGTAAGAGGAAAATTACAACTAAACACAAACACCGCAGTAATTTAAAACCAGCTCTGGTCCTTAACGGTAAGAACATTGAAAAGCGGTCTGGTCACTAAGGGGTTAATTGAAGCTCAATTATCTCTCAAACACAATGGATTGTGGAAAGGAAACACCTGTGATTTTGAATTAGAAACACCATGTTAGGGGCACTGCATAAAAAGCTGAGTGTGGCCTAATAAAGTCAGATTGCTGCTTTTACCCAGTACAACTGGTTGCGGCCATATATTGGGGAAACTCTGCACAAAGGGAATACTTTCACTATATTAAGCACATCTGGAATTAGGACTAGCGGAGGATTGAAGAAATATCAGCAGTAGACTCACGTACCCGTGACACTTGAGTCAGAAGTGGGATCCTCCATACAAACCAAGTCCAGCAAGGAATTCCAGCGGAAAGCCAACAGAGACAAAGATGGCAGAGAACTCCAGGCAATTAACTGTAGCCACCCTGCAAGAACTAATGGCGGAAAAGAGAAAAGACCCAGCGGGACTAAAGGAACCTGAATTAATTGCAGCTCTAGTAAGCCTAGGTCAGGATGGATCACCTAACAACGACCCAACCGGTTTCCTGACACCCCAGACAACCTCCGATGAGCTCTCCAGATGGGTGAGGTAACGACTCACCTTCTACGGCCCAAACCTCCTCCCCATAAGTCTGTTGGACCGAATCATGGCAGCGGCAAGGAGAGAACAAGCTGAGGAACTGGCCATTAGCAGAGTCACAGCTACGACCAGCATAACAGATGAGGTGAGATCCCGCAGTAGTTCTGGTTCCCACACCAGCATCAAGGTCACACACCAGTCCTTTAAGACCTTCGACAACCAAGTGGGGGACATCAACGGGTTCCTACAGGACTTCGAACGGCAGTGCCAACAACACCAGGTGGAGCTTCAGGTAAACTGACTGGCAAAGACATACCTGGCTATACCAGAGAAATGGAGCCAAGATTACCCGGAGGTAAAGAGACGACTACTGGCACAGTACGCCATCACCCCAGACACGTATTGCCGAAAGTTCAGAGAAGCCAGGATAGGGCCAAGAGACACTCACACTGAATGGGCTTACCGAATGAGCAGAGCCGGACGAAATTGGCTCCAGGGGTGCGAGGCAAAGACCTTGGAAGACGGGCTCCAGCAAATACTACTGGAACTATTTTTTGCCAACACCGCCCAGGATGTATGGGACTGGGTAAGAGATCACGAACCTCTCACCCTAGAAGCCGCTGCTCAACTTGCAGACCGGTTCGTAGATACTAGGCAACCCACAAACATCCACTCAGGAGCACCGCCCGCCTGTTCTCCCTGAACCATTCCGTTGGTTTCCCAGCCCCTGCGACAAGCTCCAGGACCCCCAGCCAGAGCACCACACCCTACACCGCGGGCTAACTTTACCCAAAGCCGTTGTTTCCATTTTAACCAACCTGGGCATATCGAGCGGAACTGTATGATGCCCTAACCCCCGAACCACAACCACCGGAAACCGGTACGCTACTACCTCAAGTCCTTACGCCTCCTGAAAAGCCCACTGTGTAAGCTACCCTTGCGACCACCCCCACAACGCACCTGAACCGCACATTAGAAACTATGGGGAACATCACCAGGACCACTTTTCCCCCAACAAAACTGTTGACTATGGGCACTACAACAAGGTCTCCATGGTTCAACAGCCGGCATTTGACAATAGAGAACACCACTATCAACCAGTGAAAGTGAATGGACGATTAACCAAAGGACTTCGAGACTCTGATGCCACCCTCACGCTAGTACAGCCTGGCGCTCTAGCATCCACCCAACCCCTAGATCGGCAAATTGAGGTCAGGGTGGCCGGAGGACAGATCCACAAGCTTCCATTAACCAAGTGCATCTAGACTGGGGAATCAGAGAAGGTTGCAGAGAAGTAGGAGTCATGCCATGAATCCCCACTGACGTTGTACTAGGAAACGATCTAGGACGACTGGAAAGTCGATTTGTACCCGAGAGAACTGCTGCATCCTCACCTAATTGTATGGCGGTTACCCGAGCACAAGCAGAGCGGGCACTCAAATCCGGGACCCAGGTAAGACCTAACCCCGACCCTCTCCCACTGACGGGGACTATTGACTGGTCCCACCAAGCGACTTTAGTAACTTGACCCTTAGCGACCGACCTTGAGCCAATACCAACACAGAGCTGCCTCTGGCAAGATAGGTCCATACTCTGACCAAATATTGTGGAAGAATGGCCTACTATGGCGGTCCACCCCGGGGAACACCCTGGGCACCACCGCTGTCGCCATATTCCAGTTGGTAGTCCCATCCCTACACCGCTCGCCCTTGCTTAAGCTCGCCCACGAAAACCCCTTAGCCGGACACTTGGGATTTGAACGGGCCGAGTACCGGCTATCCCGTATATATTTCTAGGGACTACTACCGAACCTGCAACGTATGTTAACGGAAGCCCTTACCCTTGATAGGCGAACTGTTTAGACAGATCGCCATAGGCCTTGTCATTCCCCTCCCTAAGCCTAGCTGGATGGGATAAAGATACATGCTCACGGTAGTGGATTTTGCAACCCACTACCCTGAGGCAGTAGCCTTGTGCAATATCACTGCAGAAACGATAGCAGATGCCTTACTCAAAATATTTCCCCAAAGATTCTATCCAATCAAGGGACCCAGTTCACTTCGGATCTCCTGAACCAGGTCTGGACCCTCTGCGGAGTTAAATCCCTACTAACCACCCCTTATCATGTGCAGACTAACGGGCTTTGTGAGAGGTTCAATGGGACCCTCAAACAAATGCTCCGTAAGTTTACCATCCAACATATGGTAGAACAGCGGGTACTCATGTTACGACCCACTAGACCCTGTGAAGTTGTAGAAAGAAGGAGGGAGACCACTTATGTAATTGCCAGTGGAGCCCAAGCTCAGATCCGACACATATGTCACATAAAGGTCACGCCATCCCACACCAAGTTAGGGGACTGAGCAATCCCAGAATCCCAGTCAAGCTCTCCTGCGCCTATAGGGTACCGGAGGCTGTCAGAGGGCAAATTCGTCAAGAGTTCGATGAGATACGACCCCTCAGCGTTATAGAAGCTTCTTACAGCCCCTGGGCCTCTCCC